CACACACACACACACACACACACACACACACACACACACACACACACACACATAGACACACAGACACACACACACACGAACACAGACAATCTCTCGTCAATATGCGTTCCCGCATTGCAAAGCTGCAAAAAACGCATAAAAAGTTTGATGTATCTTATTAATTCAATACAGCCTTTACCAATATCGAGGTATTCATCAAACAAGAACTGATCATAGGTTGGTGTTAGAGCATAATCCCATTCCCAGCGACGCACAGTTTCAACTTTCGAGTACATTTCCTTTCGTTTCTGCCGTCGGAACTGTTCAATCCGATGACTTCTTGCTTCCGGAACATTCAAAGAGAATCCACGAAAGATGGTTAAAATAACCCTTAAAACAATTGTGAATAAAGGAATAAAATGAATTTGCCTGATGGAATTACACCTAAAAAGCTCGAAATTGTTCTCGCATTTTTTATCCTCCGGAACAACGTCTTTAGTGCCTTTTTTAGGAGTTTTCTTTGCATTTTTATGCGTTTTTGCTGTGTAGCGAGGCGGTTTCAACCTCCAAGTATACTTCCTTTCGTTTCTGTTTATGCTGCAGCGTACCATAAATAACAACGCGCAAAAGACTAGCCGGCGCGATGATGCGTTTTGTGCAATTCAGCCCATCGAAAGATTGCCTATTAATGATTTTCACCGCTTTGTACTTTAGTCTATGCAAAAATACTTCAAACATGGAAAATAGTTAAAAATTTAACGTACCAGCGCATGAAAGCTAAATTTGAAACCTTGAAGGGTGAATACTTTTCCGTGATTCCCAAGTTAACAATTAACCCGCCAAAATTTTCATGAGACCTTAGGTGATACGGGCGCTGAATTTGAATAGGCAAGGTTGAGCGTGGACAGGGGGTCATTACCTAAAAATTTCAGCTTCCTAGACCTCCTGGTTCCGAGATAATAATTTACCTGTAAAAACTTTCACTAGCCCGTAAGTGACAACCGAAAGCGCGGGAACGCTGAATTTGAATGGCAAGGTTAGGCTATTACCCTAAAATTTCGGCTTCTTAGACCCCGTTGTTCCCGAGACAATAATTTACCCGTAAAAACCTTCACTAGCTCGTAGGTTATACCCGAGAGCGCGGGAACACT